TTCTTAAAATTCTCAAAGAGAATTGCAAACAAGAAAATAAATTATGTTTTAAAATACTAACATAATAAATTATTCAGGGTGCGATAAGTAAATTGTCGCCATTTTATATTTTTAATTTAATGCATGCAAGTCGTTTTTCTTTTTTTTATTTTGTTGATTGCATAGTATAGCAGGGTAAGTTGGGCACTGTCTGTGAGAAAAAGAGCACCAAGATGCAATTTACTCTGCCAGAAATTTGGAAAATGTATGCTGTACTGCTTGGCATTCATGTCAGAAGTTCCAATACAAACATTTCAGAGTATTTGGGTGTCTATCTAAGGAAAGTGCAGAGGATTTGGAAAGAGTTGGAAGAGTCTAATGGTGATTACAAAGGTGTTTGGTGTGATCACGAGTGATGGCGATGTTATGCCTCCATCCATCCATCTTCCCACAGAGCCTCAAGACTCAACACAGGGCCTACATCTAGTGCCTTGAGGGGGTAGTGCTGCTCTGGGTCAAGAGGGTGGTTGCTGGAAGACCCTATGCCTAACAACAGGACTCTGCACTATGCAGGAGAACCCAGTTACGGCTACTAGACAATTTCTGCAACTGCATCACCCCTTACATTTGGCCACCTAACTCCCCAGTCTACAACCCCCTCAATTATTATGTATGGGATGCAGTTGAGCAAGAGACCAACAAAACTCCTTGTAACATCAAAGATGAACTGAAGACAAGAATTATGACAGCATTAATAACTTAAACAAAGAGACCATCCAAAAGAGTTGCAGGAGATTCCAAAGTTGTCTGGAGGCCATGGTTGAAGCAAATAGTGATTTTATTGAATAAATTTACTCTTTAGTATTTAAAGATATTTTTGTGTAATTTTGCTAAACATATCTGTTAAAATGAGATGTCAGTATTATTTCCATTTCAGTGTAATTTAGACATTTTATCAATCGCACCCTGTATAATAGTATCCCATCACTGCTAATGTTCTAATGAATAAAGAAATTTTGAATAAAGAAGTTTTGATGTATGCAACTGAATTGTCTTTGTCATTTATATTACATTATAAACTTGGGCTTTTATCCTTGATAAAATAAGCCTTTCTTTTTCTATTTGTTAAGGGGTCCACAACATGTGTTGATATTTACAACTTGTACCTTTTTATAAGAACAAAAATAAAAATTCAAGAACCATTTTATTTCTAAAGTAATCATTTTTTATATGCTTGTATGTGCCAATATAAATTTCAATACACTATTTTCATTGACTACAGACATGACAAATGTACATTGATATTTTTATCTTCAGAAAGGACACTTTATTTAACAATATTTTATGTAAATTAAAATTGAATAGTCATGTAATTAACTGAGATCAAAGTTTTTCTATTTCAGACATTAAATTTATCAGATCTGCTATTTTCTCTTTGACAGCCTGTATTCAAAACAATATATTTTTTCTTTTTTTAGTCTTCTGTAATCCAAAGTAAACATTTAGTAGAATTTATGCCTGCAGACGAACAAAAGCTTCATTCTTTTATTTTTTGCTGACATGAAAAGGGTGATATTTTTTGTACAAATGTCAGTGAATAGTTAGAGAAGTCCTTATAGAATGGCTATGTAATTTTAAAAAAAAATTCCTATATACTCCACAAGATTGGAACAGCTCACCCACACCATAACTACAAATCCTGCATCTTTCATAGCAGGCTGCAAGAGGTTCCTAAGGAATTTCCACACCTATATTCACCCCAGTATGAAAAGGGTGTGAAAGACCAATGTGAAAAGCTCTCACCATCTCAATTGCCAACTGCTTACTTTGTTAAATATGGACTATCTAAAAAAAAAATTTAAAGAAAAAAAAGCCCCCCTCCCCAACTACTTTGGTTACATTATAACTCATGTAATAGAAATACTTTACAACTATTCTTGGATTAATTTGGACACATATCTCCTATCTATTGCTTTGCAATGGAGACCTTCCTGATGGTCCAATGCAGTAACTATTTTTACTTCTTTAGTAGGTTTACAGTTACAAATGGAATTTCCAATTTTAAAGCAATTTCACTTTTTCAGATTGATCAATTAGACATGCTTTTGAAATTTAACATTTCCCATCCAAGGCATTATTTAGACAAGTACTTCCTTGTATTGAGGCTACAAAGTAAAGCTTTCTAAAATATATATATATCTCCTAAAATTAAAACCAATACATTCCAGGGTATAAATTCGAAAATAAACAAATCGTAAAGTGTATCTTTAAAAATTGAATGAGTGGACTGAATAATAAAAACCTTTTTAGCCAGCTTCTCAAATAATGGAAAATTTACAGTACACAAAAAACATTTTTTTTTCTAAGAAGGCAAAAATATTAACTGAAGTGCCCTATTTCTAGTGTAAAAAAACTGAATAAATTTCAGATGAATTAAAATCTTTTTCTGGCAATTGTCAGAAATATTATTGATCAGAGAAAAAATAAAAAAAAAAAAACAAAAAAAACAAAATCAAAGCTCTTTAGAGTTGATACACCGATTTTGAAAGTTTATATTAGGAAATATAATGGAACAGTTAATGTATAATTAGTAATAATAATTTAGTAATAGTAACTTAAAAAATGTTATTTATCGATTTTTAACCTTTTGCAAAGTTCATCTGTCAACTCTAATTTTTTCAAGAAATTAGATTTTTTTTTGTATATTTACGACCAAGAGGATATTAAAAGGAATTTCAAGAGATATGATGAATATCAATGTTTTACCCACAAAAAAAAAAAAAAAAAAAAAAAAAAAAAATGTATTTACATTAAAACAGTAGATGAGTAATTAATGATCCTACATACAATGGTAAATAAAGTGTAGGGATGGATACTAAAAAAAGAAAAAGCGATATTATTGCTTTTAAAAATTAGAGAGAGTAAGATTTTTGTAAAAGACTTAAAAAAAACAAAATAAAAAACTCAATTAAGGAAAATATTGTCATTAATAATAAAAAATCATAAAGATATCTTTCCTTGCGTGTGGAAAAAGGAAGACGGGTTTTAAAAACCACATGATGCTTAGTCACTAAAGTTTTAGTGTAACTCCTTATAAAATGAGAAAAAAAAGTGTTGACAAGAGAATATCAAAGTTGTCTTGAAAATCTTTTTAAATTTGTCATTTTATTTTCTAGAATTTTTTGTTTTTTAGTGAAAAAAACCTTTTTCTTTTAGAGACTGAAGCCATCATTAGCCATGAAAATAATTAGTTTGAAGAAAATGTCAAAGAGAAAACTATACACTAAAAATACTGTAAAAATGAAAATATAAGAATAAGATTGAGTATCTAATTTTATTTTAAAACCAAACAAAAATTCATGCTGTTTGGTGGATGCAAAGTGAGGGATCATTTTCCCTGATGACTAAAAAAAAATACTCAAAAAAGATAGACAACGAAAAGAAAGATTTTTGAAAAGATCATGAAATCTTAGACGGTAATCTATGAATGGCAATTTTACATTCTTTAAGCGAAGAAATAGATTGTTATTATTGTTTAAATTAAATGGCATTGTTAGAAAAATGATTTTTAAATAGTAAGTAAAAGTAAAAGTACTGAAGGAAGTAAGTATTATTTCCAAGCCTTAGCTACGCATATATTGTTATCCACACGCGACTACTAGAACATTGAAGAAAATATTCAGATAACAACTCTTTTTTTTTTTTTTTAAACATATACTAATTATTTACTACTAATAAATTCCTCGTTTTTACAGATATTTTATGTAACAGTTGATCCTATTTTTTAGTCTTTGTCGTCACTTGGTCGTTACGAATGTTGTGTTCTAAAATCTAAAGCCGAAAGGAAATATTTTTTTTTTAATAAAGTACACATGTCTCTTCTTCTTACTAGTATTATAGAAGAACAAATAAAATATTAATGAATGTAAGTTTGTAATCAAGATGTTTTTTTTTTTTTAATTTGGGCATAACAGGAAATCTGTCATTCGTTGACAAAAACGGATGTGAGATTATATTGGAAGCAAAAATATTATAGAAAATACATTTCGGCGTGTTTCTACAGCAATGAAAACAAAATACATAAATAAACCTGAATTTTAGTATCAATAACGGAATTTGACAGTAAGATAAACTAAGAAGAAGCATGTGTTAAACTGTCATTTTACAAATTAATTTTCATAATGTTATTCTTATGATGAATACTAAGTTCCTATCTATTTACACAATAACTGAAGCAAATAAAAGAATTATATATTTTCCAGCAAAAATATAAAGCTTTTTTTTCTTAAATGTATATCTATATTATGATAGACTCATTAAAATGATTTTTTTTTTACAAATGACTAAAAAGACTAAAGAGGCAGGTCTCTTTCGCAAACATTAGAAGTGGTGATGAACAAGACTGCATAACTTTTCTTTCTTGAATGACGATAACACCACGAATGGAAATAATCAAAATAGACATAATACAAAAACAGATGAGAGAAGAAGACAATATGCCATAATTATTATTTAAAACAACAAAAGTAAAAAAACTAAAAGACAAGGGTTTAGAGAGCTTCCTGATGTGAAGTGTATGCGGACATCACCCCTCGTGTAGCAGAGGAAGACAAATCGAAAAATGCTTTTCTCATTTATTTTCTTAATTTTTTTGCTTCTTTTTTTTTTTAAGGAAATGAAAAATTAAAAGAATTAAAAACATTATTCTAGTTTCAATGACACCGGGGAAAGTCAGCCATCGGAAGAACAAAATTAATGTTTCTTGCTGACGATGGTCGGCTTTCTAAAAAAAAAAAACTTTAAAAAATAAAAAGGAAAATACCATTCTTAAAAAATAAAATAAACAAAATATGGGAAAAAAAAAAAAAAAAGAGTAAAAAGTTGGATTGGAGGAAAACTTTCCGACTTGTCTTCTTATCTGTCCACACAAGTCCCGTGACTACTGCGGTCTTCGGTGTCTCTTGGACACATTTCCCGCAACCTCACCAGAAGACGCCATTAGAAATACGTCGATCAATTACCTTAACCTTTATGGCACTCATTTTCTGCTAATCATGTCTCTGCTACACTGAATAGACCAGGAACAACGTAGTGAAATGCGTGTGTTGAGAAAGGACCTTTCTAACACAAACAACACTACCTACCATTTTGTCGAGTCATGTGATCAGTGACGGCTGCATACAAATGACGAAATGCGAAGATGAATAACCGGAGTGGAAATCACTACGAAATTTTACCCGGCTATTTTCTTCAAAAATTGATTCTTTTCTTTTTTTTCCCCATACTTGATTTATTTGTTTATTTTTCTGGGAAAATTCTTAAATAAATTTTATATTCATTAAACATATTTTTCTTCTCAATTTATTTTTTTTTTAAATTTCCTGAGAAGAACTAATGACAATAATTTAATTTTTGTACTGAACGCAAAAAAAAAAAAAAATTTTTTTTTTTTTTTAAATCATTTTAGCACACATACACTCAGTCACTTCTGATGATTTGCATGTTTAATAATATTAACTTCTTGAAAAATAATAGCAATGCATTATCTCTTGATTTTAAATTATTTCAAATTATTTGTTTCTTAAATAGTACCTCTCCAAAAGCAAAAAAAAAATTGCATATTGCAATAATATAGCAGTGAGATTTAACCTTTTCTAAATATGTTTGTATATTTAATGCTTCAACCACAAAGTCAAGAAAAAAAATAGTTTTGGGCCAGTGGGTCACCTACTAACATTTTGTGACAATAACTGTCAAATAATTTTCTTTTAGACAATGTATTCCATGATAAAATTATGATGTTAGGAATGTTAAGAACCATTCCATTTGGCTTTAATCACTTATTGCTAGCAACCTGTAATTAATACCAGATTTTTAGAAACCTAACACAGGATTTTTTTTTTAAGAAACCTGAAATTAATTTTATTATAATTTTTATAATTAATATTCTACGTTTGGCATTAATGAGTTAATTAAAAGTAACTACTTAAAAATTATAACATTTTTATTTAACAATGATATCACATTTATATAATTAATTTTTTGTCAGTTTTACAGTTTATGTGCATGAACAGTAGAAAAATAATATTATCGTACTTATTTCAATAAAATTTTATGTGTCTTAATAAAAAATTAAAAACACTAATATATATAGTTCATATAGTATAAAGGTTATCTGTGGTGAACATAGAATTGATGGTCAAATTCAAGTTCAAGCCTAGTTTACAGTGGCGTGGGGCTTTGGGGTTAAAATGAACAGTTGATTTACTCACACCAAGAAGATGAATGAAGGATGATAATAACAAGGAAATTCACAGGTAATTTTAACAAAATATGATAAGGGATTTATTCCTGAATTTACACACTTGAAGTAGTGTCAGTAACTCATTTCAAGAAAATAAATCAGAATTCTTAAATTCTGTAGTTTTACCAAATTGTCATGAAGAGGAAATACCTTCAAATACCTTAAATAATCTGACACAAAATAATATTAAAAAATGTTATAGACAAATGTAAGAGAGTTGCTCACTGAAGGGATATATGGTTTGCATACATTCAAAAGTAGACAAAGAGAGATAGTTTGAAAAACTTAGCTTTCTTGTATTGTTGAGAGAAAGTTCTTTGAAGTGTGGTGTGCTGTTTAAAGGCCAATAATATAATTGGCAAGTGATTTTACGCTGGTGTATACTTCAATGCTGATCACGAGGAAACCTTTCACATGACTTCAGATACTCTTCTGATTAATTTAATTTTTCTCCTCATTTTATATTAAGAATTTTGCATCTGCTCGCTACTTTCTTTCCTCCTTCTTCTTGGATCAACAGCTGATTTCTGTGAAGGCAAGGTTTTTATAGGTCCAAAAACAATTTCACATAGGCTAGTGAATTTTTTTTCCTTCTTCATTGGAAGGTTTAAACATGGTTGTGGTATGTCTGTTTTCTTTTTTTGGTTCAAAAGTTATGGTAAGTAAGTATAAGCTTTGTACTAATGGTTGAGCAAAAGTCAACCTTGCACAGAGTTGAAACAACCAAAGAAATGTTTGTATTTACTTTATCATTAGAAAGTTTAAACATGGTTAAGGTATATCTGTTTTCTTTTCTTTCTTTTTTTTGTTCAGAAGTTAGGGTAAGTTATAGTGGTTGAGCTCAAGTCAGCCTTGTGCTGAGTTGGAACAGCCAAAGAAAAACTCATTTTACTTATAGGTGGACATTTTGGTAGACACATGCAAATGTCATGTGTTAGAAAGTGGAAAAAGAGAGTTCAGTTTTCAGTGGACTGGGGAAACTAACATTCTCCAATGGAAACATAATTACCATGTGGTGATACCTCTTGGAAGGAACAAGGGAGAGAAAGAGAGTTAGAAAGCAAATGTTTGCCCTTCTATAGACTTAACCAGCACCACCTAACAATGTCTCATGAAGTAAAGTGGTGTGATCCTATTTCCGGGTCCTTTACTATTCACTTCACGGTAAAATGTACATATTTTTCATTTTTTTTATTATTCATTATTATCATTTTATTTATTGATTTTATTTCATTTTACTGCAATACAACCCTGTTGCAGTTCCAAATTCCCTGAAGGTTACATGGACTGATAGAAGTCTGCAGGGCACAAAAGCTAAAATATTGTGATATAAACAACAAAGAAGTAGATATTAGTTCAAATGTAAATAATGTAAATAAGTATATATCCTGCCTAATCTGAGATACAAAAAATTATTATTATTATTTACTGATTTATTTGGAGTGATATCCTCATCTTTGTTCTTATAGCCACAACATTATAGTCATTTTACTCTCCAGCCGTCTTCAGGTGCCTATTTCTTTCCAGCCTTGACAGAGTTCAGATGCGTTTAAACAACCTTGTAAGTGATTAATTACCTTACACCCTACAACCACTTTCGCACAGATGAAACATTGCAGGACTCTCTCTGCTCTATCACTATTTCCATGGAACATTTTCTGAAAGGCTACATTCCATTGTTCCACCAATTCAAACCTTTACAGCTCAGACATGGCATTTCCTTTGTATTCCATTGGTAAGAAGAAAATTCCATTCAGATGGCTTCTTCCCTAAAACTGCTGCTTTATGGAACAGATTCCCAAGAGAATGCTTTCCAATCACTATAATCTTAACCTCTTCACGTTCAGAATCAACCATTATCTGTTCTACATACCCTCGTAGTCTAGACTTCTCACCTCTTATATCCATAAAACAACCTCATTTAGTAACACTCTACCTTGAATGGCTCTTGGGCTTTGTATTTGATGAAATAGTGCAAAAAAATAGCAAACTATATTCAATTGTAGCTACTTTTGTAATTTCAATGAAAAATTTGAATGTAAATGTCTGGGTCAAAAAAATTAAATGGATAATTTATTAAAAGGTGTAAACCATATTAACCATTGTAATACACTGATTTATTTGAATTGACATCCTCATTTTGGTAGTTATAGTCACAACATTTCAGCCATTTTATTCTCCAGTCTACTTAAGGTCATATTTGGTTAACTTTCTAGAAATTATGAAAGAACAGATGTAACTTTTAATTCTTCAAAATTTCACCACTTGACTACATATAAGAATTCATTGATTTTAAGTTTCAGTACATTTTATAAAAGGATTCAAAAAGAGTTGGATTATATATCCAGTCAACATCATGGTGTTTGGAGTGATCACTAGTGATGCCAACATTATGCCTTCATTCATTTTCCCACAGGGCTTCAGACTCAACATAGAGGCTTACATCAAGTGCCTTGAGGAAGTAGTGTTGCCCTGGGTCAAGAGGGTGTCTGCTAGAAGACCTACTGCTTTGCAACAAGACTCTGCACCATGCCACACAAGTAGGAGTACCCAATCATCACTTTCTGCAAAAACATTACCCCTTAGGCAACCTAACTCCCCAGACTGCAAAACCCTTGATTATTATATATGGGGCACAGTTGAGTGAGAGACCAACAAAACTCCTTGTAACACCAAAGATGAACTTAAGGCAAGGCAGCAGTCACCAACTTAAACAAGGAGACTGTCCAGAAGATTTGCATGAGATTCCAAAGTCGTCTGGAGGCCATGGATGAAGCCAATTGAATAAATTTACTCATTAGTATTTCTAGATATTTTTGTGTAATTTTGGTAAATATATATGTTAAAATGAGATGTCAGTGTTATTTTCATTTTTGTGCAATTTAGACGACAATTTATCCATCGCACCCTGTACAAGGCCAATCGAGCACTTTTACTTTTTGCTTCATCAGAAACACTGTCTTTTTTTTTAACTGAGAGCCTTGAATCATTATTATACTGAAACATTATACCTCAAGATTGATCACATTGCCCTACTAAAATACGTTATTTTTAGTTTGAATGTTTTGTTATATTTTAGTTTCATTTTTAGGTCCATCCATTCCCTCTTCATTTCATGATCCTATATTTTTAGCTATTTTTGTAAGAAAAAAGCAAAAAAAAGAGATTTGGACTTTTTATGCCATGAGTGTTTTTGTAGGTTTCCCTGTGAATATGTGGTATATCTAGGGTTGAATGGTGATGGATGAGTTCTTGTGGTGAATGAGCAAATTGTAATGGATGGGTCATGAATCTGATTAGCTAGGTCTAGGATAGTTAATGTTGATCAGCTTTACCCCACTTCCCCTTCAGCCTTGTGCCAAAATTATTGTAATAATTCAACAATAAGTAATTATTCAGAGCAAGATTGAAATCATCAGCTTAAAAATATATTTACTATATCAAATAAAGCAATGATTCTCAACATGGTCCAGGTGGACCACAGGTGGTCCACATAGCATTCCTAGTGGTCCACAGAAAATTTGTAGCCATAAAAAATTGAAAGTGTTGAGTTGGCTGAAATGTTGCTGGACTTGAAAGAGAATGCGAAACTGAGAAGAAGAGTTGACAAAGAAGGTATCTTTGCCTAGATATCAATAAAGGATTCACATCCAAATATTTTTCAACATGTAAAAGCAAGCATCATCTCTTTTCCTACCACATGGATGGTGAAATCTGAAGTTTTGGCTGTTGTGGATA